GAAACACCTGAGATGGAGGTCATGGCGTTCACCCCACAGGACAAAGATAGAGCATTTCTTAAGCAGTTAGAAATCTATTGACTTGGAATGGTTTATTAAAGTGAGTGTGGTGACCTCAATTCCCCTGGAATCTTCTAGTTATCCTGGGTTAGAAGAGAGATTACCATGAGGGTAGAGGGAAGAGACAAGTTGAACTTAGAGACAGACAACCATAAAAACAGCATGAAAAGCATAATACGCTGGAGCCATTTATTTTAGGAGGATACACATCTAACAACCTCTGAGTGTATTACTGTGTCATAGATGGACTACATTGTTGGTTGACTTTGAATTTAAAGAAACAGTAGTGCTCATGAGTTTCTGAAACATGAAGAAAAATTAGATTCCAAATACTCTATTTAAGAAACTGGGGAACTATATTATCATTTTAGAAAGATTTTAGTCAATAGTAACTAACAGTTTTCAGTCAGGATAAACTTCTGGAAGATTTACACACATAGGATATTTTCTTTCTTTCTTTCTTTCTTTCTTTCTTTCTTTCTTTGTTTATTTTTGAGAGAGAGAGAGAGAGCGAGCAGGGGAGGGGCAGAGAGAGAGGGAGACACAGAATCTGTCTGAAGCAGGCTCCAGGCTCTGAGCTGTCAACACAGAGCCCAACACAGGGCTCAAACTCATGGACCCAGAGATCATGACCTGAGCCCAAGTCGGATGCCCAACCAGTCAGGTGTCCAAGGGACCGAGCCACCCAGGCAACCCCACACAAGATCTTTTCTTATCCAAAGTAAGATAATAGACATTGTTTTGCATGATACAGTGCTAAGCAAATGGTAAAAACTGAGTAAGTACTTTTTAAATAGAATTCAGTTTTTACAGGGCAAATGAGACTCTGTGCCTAACTCCTGGAAAATGGAAGATTTTCCTGTAGCCTTTCAAAAATGCAGTTAATTACTTGACTGTCAGAAGACGTTGATAATATATTCCCTACCTGTGTTGTCCTGCAAAATGTTGGCCATTGTGACAAGCCCTCATTTAGTTACTTATCCAGCTGAGCAAATAATTGACCCGAATGTACTCAAATAAGACATTGAGATATAAAATCACTTCTTTAAAAGTTGATTTAAAAATTGATAGTTTTTTTAAACCTAAAATAATGACACTTTTCCTTCCAGCTTATCTCTTATTTTAGGCTCTCAAGATTTGAAAGCCAGCCAGTGATACATGCCTTAAAGAATCTGCAGTCAACCCACACGCTTCTATATAATTAATAGGATTGCTCAGACAGCTTATCTGCTTAAGTTCTGAAAATCTCTTTATCCTTTATCTGCAGGAACACTAATCACTTGAAAAGAAGAGGGCTGAGGGAAGTTGTTTCAAAGCCAAGTTTAAAAGAATTTTCTTGTATCAAATTTTATCAGTTTTCTGGGTTCCTTGCATCTCATTCCCTCTCAGGTATTTTAAATTTGCGGGAACGTGGGTGAGTTGCTTGCATTGCTGGTGAGATAAGCATTTCTTAAGGCCTTATCTATTCGCTCCTTGGTTGGATTCCACCAGGCCCAGGAAACAGAGAAGTATCTGGTCTGGGAATTGGGAAGCCTTGGCTCTGGGTTTCCCTCTGTGATTTGGTAAGAGACCTTTAGTTACCAGGCGTGGAAAGGATTGGCAACTTTAAGCAAAGGAAACTTACTGGAAGGGCACAAAAGGCCGGCAGAATCAGTGGATGGCTGAAAATCAGGCTGGAACAGGAGCAGGTGCCATGGCCTTTCCAGAAGTTGGGAGACAGGAGCCCCAGCAGCAACCTTGTAACTGGACCAGAGTGGTGAGGGGCCACTGCTAGGGACCAATGGGTCAAATCGCAGGGAGGTTGGCCTAGATTTACAATCCATGGGGTCCACCTCATAATTCCTTAAGAGGAAACCAGGAGGCAGTTTGGGAAAAGAGACTCCATGCTGGGCAGATAACTTTGTCTACTACTGTGCTATTACTTGACATCTTTAAAGTTGCTTCCTGCTTTAAAAATGAACGGACAGTGCTTCTCCCATGAGAGCCTTTCAGGTTACCATGTCCCTGTACTGTTTGCTTCTATGAGTGTCTGTAAGACCAATGAACAAAATAATAAGACAAACAAATAAGGCAAAGACATATAGGGAAACTAGTGGATTATTAGTTGTCCTGCTTTTGGTAATTTTATCACTGTATAATAGGGGTTGTATTCATTATTTGTTGCTGCATAACAGTATTACCACAAACTTAGCATTTTTTTTTTTTTAATGTTTATTTTTGAGACGGAGAGAAACAGAGCATGAGTTGGAGAGGGGCAGAGAGAGAGGGAGACACAGAATCTGAAGCAGGCTCCAGGCTCTGAGCTGTCAGCACAGAGCCCTACGCGGGGCTCAAACCCACTAACTATGAGATCGTGACCTGAGCCGAAGTCAGACGCCGAACCGACTGAGCCACCCAGGTGCCCCCACAAACTTAGCATCTTAAAACAACACAGACTGATCACCTCATAGTTTCTATGGGTCAGGAGCCCAGGAGTGGCTTAGCTGGGTTCTCTGCTTGGGGTCTAGATCCAGGGCTGTGGTCAAGGTATCATTTAGAGTTGCAATGTCATCTGAGGCTTGACCGCAGAAAGCTCCATCTGCAAGCGTACTGAGGTTGTTGGTAGACTTCTTTCCTTGTAGCTATAGGAGGGACTGAAGATTTCACTTTCTTATTGGCTGTTAGCTGCAGGCTCCCCTCAGCTCCAAGACACTGTCCCCAGTGCCTTGCCATGTAGGGTTCCCTAGTTGGGTTACACTACAATCTTAAGTAATGTAAGTACATAACCATGTACACATAACCACACATACACCATCACCCTTACTGTATCCTGTTAGTTAGAAGGAAGACACAGGTCCCACCCACACTCAAGGGCATGAACACCAAGCAGCAGGGATTATGGGGGAACCTTATGAATCCGAGTAGAAGAACCCAGTGGGACAATCCTCAGAGCAGTCTTGAAGTCTAACACAGCTCATTCTTTCTGTGCATCTGATTTCCCTAAACCTCAGTCCCAGGGTGGGGTGGGGGGCAGTGCGGGTTACTTCTTATGAACTGATAAGGGGGCAGAACAAAATCCTGGCCTCCAGTCCCTCTAGTTCAGCTTTAGAGCAGAGAGCGGGGATGTAAGGAGCTTCATCGCCTCAGACCTACCATGACCGGAGTGGTTTCTCTTCACAGTTGTCTGGGTGTAGTTGAATCTGGTGGCCTCCACTGAAGTGTATCTTTTGCCTATATTTACCATTGGGCAAGTTACCTTCTCTTTGGTACTTAGTTACCAAGTTACCTTCTGCATGGAAATGCTTTCATTTGTTCATGTGCACATACTGTCTCCCTCAACTATATCATAAGCACCTTAAAGGCAGGAGACATTTCTTATATCAGGAGCCCTTCACATATCCTCCCAAGTAGGATAAAAGCAAAGGCAGAGGTACTTTGGAAGAAATAGTTCATATTAGTTCTCTAATGGTGTGAAGGAAGGGGAGTCTGTAAGTCGTTGTGAAAATGTGCTCTCTTCGCTGTACTTGGTTATAGAAACAAAACATGTATATTCGAGAGGAATGACCTTACAAATGCTTAGAATACCCGGAGTGTGCTCGGTTCCTACTATGGCAGCTAGGCATACATGTGGAAGCGTATTCTAGCAATGGGATTCTGGACTTACTGCTTTAATCTCTATGAGCCTGTGACCTCATCGTCTTAGCTCGGGGAGACTAGGTCTTTAAAATGTATAGCGCAGTACCTAGCATATAGTAAGTATATACGAAATAGGTATCATGCTGATGCTTTAAGACCCTGACCAGTGAAGGCCCGTGTCAATTCTGAAGGTGTAATTCATCCCCATAACAAAGGGGTCAAGGAGATGCACACATAACAACACATTGTAGCTCGTTCCTTCCCTTAGAGCTCATGGGGGTTCAGTGTGGTAGTTCCTGGAGTAAATTAGACTCCCCATTGCTGTTTTCCCATCCCTGAAGTCGGGCTGTTTGGAAAGTGTGGTAGGACTGGAGCTGTAGCGCCCCCTCCTCTGTAGACGGCAGGGCCATTCACGGCATTCGCGGCCAGGGTAGGAAGTGCCTCTGCTCCTGTCTTTGGTTTCTAAGTGCCCAGGCCATGGTGGAAAGCTCAGGAGACTTAGCTGCATGTCCCGGGACAAGCAACAGCCTCTCCAAAGCCATTTTCACTCCAGAAAGTAGAGCCATGTGAGGGGGGGATCAAAAGGGGGGAGGAACACGGGAACATTTTATACACTTGGCAGGTCTAAAGGAACCCAGAAGGTATTCTCCTTACCAAGGACTTGCCTCTGAGGTTAGTTTTCATTTTCTCCCAACAGCGTCCTAACTGGCCAAATGAAAATGTGAAATATATTTTAGAAAAGTTTTAATTTGAACAATTTATGATTAAAAATACGGTTTATAAATAATTTTTCCATAGACTTGATTGAGGATTGTTGCAAACTTTACAAAAGGACACACTGCAACAAGAACAGATTAAAGAAATTACAAAAAATACAGCTATAGCCCTCCTATTTAAAAATACAACATTATACATCACAGCATTTTCATTGTGCAAAGTCGAAGACGATGCGGCGTTGGGCATGTCACATATTCACTCAAAGGGAAGTCAACTTTAATATAGTTACTTTGCATAATAGCATAGGCACAGCTGAGACAATGAATCCTTCCCCCCCACCCCCCCCGGGAGTTAATATACCTGAGGTTCAACTTTTTGCTTTTATCTGATAGGACTGATGGCTGAAATTGGCTTAGTACAAATATATGTGTGTGTGTGTGTGTGTGTGTGTGTGTGTGTGTGTGTAGAGAAAAAAGTGTCTGCTTTGAAATTAAGTAAACCCCCAACATATTTACAATATTTTTAGAGAATGTGTTCTCCAAATCAGTCTGATTATATCTTCTCATTAAACAACTCTTTAGAAAATTAAATGAAGCCAGATCTGGCAATTAATGGACATCCTCTGTCGAGACTTCCAGTTTTCGCTGTGGGACAAAGAGAGTTCCCACGGAGGTTTTATGAGCACCATCGAAATCCATGCAGGATGGGCCCATTGGCTTCATTGGTCCGCCTGGGGTACGGAAGAAACTTTCGGCCACTGACTGTGACCCTTTGGGTGTCACAGGAACAGGCTGATCGGAAAGAGAGGAAGAGGAAAAGGAAGTCAAACCCACACAGATAGGAATGGCCTAATAGCCTCAGAGGGCTGGACCGGAAGGGCATATCGCACGGTAGGAGCCTGGCATAGTTTGCAATTGGCTGGGGGTACTGTGGACTCTCTGGGTACTCTTCCTGGGTTTGGAAGGCAGCTAGGCCTTCAGTCTCCTCCTCCCATCCTTCCCCTCTCCAAAGAAGCAAAGCAAAAGCGAATCTCCTGTGATATTATTTGAGCCTTAATAACCCCAGGAAAAAAATCCACTGAATGGAAATACTCTCACCTGTTGTGCCCCTGTCGCAGCAACTGATTGTCCACTCGGTTGGTTCTGGCCGGGGACTGGAGAGTCGTACCTGGTGGCCCTTCCTTGCTGAGTACCTGCATTTTCTGGTACAACACTAACAGGGTCTATTCTTGGAGACACAGGAACGGCTCCGGGGCTGGCAGACACCTGCACACTGGGGGAGATGAGTCCCAAGTGCTGCAGTGTGAAGTTTACAATGGCTGAGCTCGGGTTCTGGCCGGGAATGGGGTGGCTCGAAGTGAGAGCCGGGCTGTTCCCGACAGGTACAGCTGCCACGGAAGTTGGTGAGACCATTAGCTTCAAAGGTGTTACATGAAAAGAGGGAAAATTAACAGCAGTGAGTTCGGATGATGTCACTGGAATGACACCTGAAAGACAAGGGGGGAAAATATCTTAAAAGCACAGGCATTTGTCCAAGAAGCTTACAAGGCTTAAGTGAACTTGAGCCTGACCCACATTTGAATAGTTTTACATACACTCACCTGTGATTGGGGAGCTGTAGATCCTGTGGTTTGGGGAAAGTGTACTTGAGTTTTCTTTACTAGACAGCATAGACTCTGCCCCCAGGGATGAGCACTGGGTGAGGGGGATTAGGTATCCTGATGGGAACAAGGTCTAGAAAACAAGGAGGAAGGATTTATTTTACACACAAATATGGAAGAAAAATGGCCATGTGCCTGTTCCAGGACTCCTATCCCTTAGTGGTTGGTTGTCTCATCAGGACCAAAGCGTCCAATGGTATGGGCTATGGGTGGCCCAGCTATATGGCTCCCTGAAGACAATATCCCTCCCTTCTATTCCTGACTTTTGAAAACCATGTGTGTCTTAAATGTTATCTGTGGTCTTAGGAAGTGTCCTAAAGCTAGCAGTCAGCCTGCCTAGAGATAGGATCTGCCCAACACATCCCCTCCCACTGACATCCCTAAGTCCTGCTATCAGACTTTTTGGTGTGATGTGGTGCTGTCAGAACCATTTTAATGCCGTTGGATGCCATAATGGCATTGCTGTATTATTCTATGGTTGTTCTTGAATTATGTAGAGTGGTAACTTCCCAGAGTGTTCCGAGGAACCCTACTTCCATGGGATGCAAGTTGTCCCGACTTGAATCGTGGTCCAACCTGCCACGGAAATGGTTAACTGAACAAAGGAAAATGGTGTCTTTACTGGAGAATTCCTGGGGGGCTTTAATGATGGCATGCATTGTAAATCCCCGAGGAGCATCCAGCAGGTAGCATTTCCCAGGCAATTTAGCAGCTAAACTTTTGGTAGTATTGGTATTCAAGGAAAACATTTTAAGAAATGTTGACTTAGAGAAGGGGGCTGCCAAATCCTGGGCCAAAATCTGGCCTCCTGTCCACTTTTGTAAAGAACATTGTATGGGAACACAGCCATGCCCGTTCATTTGTGTTCTGTCCATACCTGCTTTCTTCTATTTTTACAATGGCAAGGTTGAATAGGCAGCACGGAGACCATAGGGCCCACAGAGCCAAAAATATTTACTACCTGGCTCTTTACAGAAAAGGTTTGCTGACCCCTGATTTAGAATAAAGTAATTATACGACTACAGATGTATTCTTCCTAGCACTTTAGGTTCCGGTGATACCAAGCACGCTTATAACACGCCAACTGAAGGGCAGGGCACCAGAGTTCAAAAACTATAGTTGAAAAGAGAACTGATTAGTTCATACTGGAGACCCTCGTGGCACAGAGCAAAAGCTTCAGGCAATAAAGTTATATCCTAAAGAGAAATGGCCAATGTTGGGTTGTGTGTACCCCCCACCACGCCTGCTTGGCCCCCGTTACTTTAGCAAACGGAGAGCCTGCATGGGTGGCTGAACTGCCTGAAAAGTCTGTTTCGGCCTTACCACGAGCAGGCCTGGCAAAAGCTAAAAGCAGCTCTTGTAACCTGGGGGCCCTCTTTTTATCTTCCTTCAGATCTTTCTTCTCACCATTGTCAAAACAACAGTCTACACTTTGATCTAGCTGTTAATAGGTCCCATCTTTTCCTTGGGAACCAGCGAATTCCAAATCTGCAAGGCTAACAGTGTTCCACGACACTGCTATTTATCAGTTTTGTTTCTGAAATGTTTGGCACTGTTCCCTATCTTTACTCATTGGTTCCTTGAAAGCCGCAGGAACAGAAAGTTTTAATGGGTGGATTTAGGCGATTTACAAGTAGCTGTTCTTTACTACCGTTCATCACACTCTCTCACGGTACAAGTTACTCTGGTGGCTGGTTTAATTCTTTCAAATCTTTAGCAAAACCTATAGTACTCTAATAATTATTTTTCAATTATCTACAGACTACGTTCATCACAAAATCTTTCAACCTAAGATGCCAATTCCTTTTTTTTTTTTTTTTTTTAATTAGAACTGTTAATTAGCAGGTCGAATGAATTTGGTATATTTCAGCTTGCATGCTTCTCATCCAGTCTACATTAGCTCTCTTATCCCTTTCTTCCTATTCTATCAGCCTGTTTTATGTTCATTGCCTGACATATTTGTGTTTGTTTCTAAACTGTCTTCTCTCCACCCACAGAAGTGCAGATTCTTAGTAATGTTTGTTGAATGAATTAACACACAAATCTCTCATTTCCTTTGTTCAGCTTAGTCCATGCTAAAAAGAAATGGTCAAAATGAAGCCGTAGAGATGAAAAGAGAAGCAGGGGCACACGGAAAATCTATCTACTGAAAATCCTAATCCTGAATAACTAAGCGAGCAACAGGAGACCATTATTAAATCATATCCATTGGCCCAAAGAGATTATGGACCTCCCAGAAAATTGAATCAAGCCAAAGCCTTGTGATTTTCCCCTTAGCATGTATATTACATGCAAAATGATAGTATGCCAAGATAATAGATGTTTTGAATGGTTACCATGAGGCCATCCTCAGGGAAGATTTGACAAACTCTAAAGCCTCTTTAATAACAACAGTTGCAGATAATACCCTTCAGCTTATACGGTGCCTTAAAAGGATCACAAGCCCCTTTATGTATATTATCATGTAATAAATTCACTTAACCTCACAAAAACTGTAACGTGGCCCTGGGGCAAGTATTCAAAAGCAACAGTCACCAAAGGCAGGTGCTGGGTTTGATTTGATCCAGAGCACGGTGCTTTATACCCAGTAGATGATCAGGAAAAAGTCGTGGAATAAATTCTTTATAGATGTGGAAAAACAAGATGTAGAGAAGGAAAATAACTTGAGTTAATAGCAGGGACAAAATGAGAGATTAACTTCTGCCTCCATGTTTAGTGGTGTTTATTTGGTGATAATGTCCTCCATATGTAATTGTCCTGAGGGAGAAAAATGAGATAGCCTATATAAAAATGCCTAGTACTTCTGCTGCCCTGTATATGGGTAAGCATCTAATAAATGTTAATTCCTTCCTGAACCTAACTCCACCTAGGGAAAACAATTACCTGGAACATCAAAGTCTCTAGAAACCAATGCATCAAGTGTACCTACAATCTGCCAAGATACGCTGGACTTTTCTGTTACATAAAATAGAAATTTTGGTTTAAATTTTAAGTGGACAGTTAAAACAGAGGGGACGGTTTATCTTGCGGGCAACAGATGCCAGGTACGTGACATCCAACAAACATTAGGTAATGACTCAGAAAGCAGGAGTTACAGGAACCCTATGCATCCACCCATTCATTTGGGGTTACGTCTGCTTGTAAATTATTTAAGACTTTCGTGACAGCTGTTTGCATTCCAGTATGTGACACAGCAACAGACTTAAGGACAACCACCCGTGGTGCTTTAAAAAGGGAGCAAATAATCCCTTCCTCCAAAGGTTAAAAATGTCCCTGCCGTCATCCCAGTCAGGGGATTAGCTGTCTGGGGCTTTGTTTGGATTATGGGACACTAAGGAACAGAACCTTGTCTTCTGAGAAACTGCTCTTTGCTCTGGTAAATTTCACAAGCTACCAAATTCTCCTCTAATCAACTGTGCACTTCCTAAAGCTTTACACGGTTCGGGGCTGTACTTACTGTGGAGACACTGTCAAGTCCTTTCAGGTCCTCTTTAAACTTCTTTTTGGAACCACTGTCCTCGAGCATGCTTGCCCTCTTTGAGCCTCTTTCTCCAGCAGGCTCCTTGTCTCGGTTCTTCGCACCTGGTCTCTCAGTCACTGGCTGCAAGCTTCCAGGCCTGGTGGAGGCACCGGATTTGGTGGCGTCATTGGCTGCCTTCTCGGTGGTGGCATCTGTGGAGTCTTTTGATCTTGTAGCTTTAGAAGAGGGGGCGGGGCAGACTGTCGGGCTCAGGCCTTGGGGTGGCGTCACGGTCTGGGCGTGGGCAGGCTGCAGGTAGATGGCATAGGACGGGCCTGAAGGGGCCTGAGGTAGGATCATGGGCACTGCAGGTGACAATGGGCTGGGGATGAGGGGGACCACCCCCAGGGGCTGGATGAGGGGCGGGGCCGTCAGTTCCAGCTCAGCATTTGCTGTGGTGTGCAGAGGAGACACTGGTTTGCAGTGCCCGCATCTTTCCAGCTGTCCCTTCGCTTTCTTGCTGGGTTCGCTAAAAGACAAGATGTAAAATATGACACAGTGGAAACACATCTTCTCTAAAATGTTCTAAGACTGGGCCAGATTGTAGCCGTGCGTTTATGAAACGAGCAGGTAGCTTCTGCAATGATTGCATAAAAGTTATAGAGAAGACGGTCTCACCAGTCTCCAAGGCTAGTGCGTACTCTTACGTAAAGCAAGTAATCCTAACGATGCAACGTAAAAGTAATTCATCCTGCTACTAAAGAGTATTACTAACCTACCTTGACTGCTCTTCTAACTGCATTTTGCAAATAGCTGCGAGCTGAGCCATTTTACTTGGGAAGGGTGCCGGATTCTGAGCGCTCTCAGCTGATAAAACAGAAAGGGGGGCGGTGGTGTTGGTCACAGCAAAAGAAGGAATGCTCACACAGATAAAACATCATTGAAGTCAAAGGAACAGAAAACACGCACCTCCCTTCCAAATCACATAACCATTAAAACCCACCAATTATTTTTCGTCTTTTCATTCATACGTGAGTTAGGCTTCAAGTGAGTGGATCGGGGTATATGGGTATTGAAACAAATCTCTAACAAGTACCGTAGGGATCAAGTAAGTGAAAAAAAATCAGATAAAAAGGAATTCTTCAGAGCAGAGCCTGATGTGACTGAAAACATACCTTTGCTTGTCTTGATGGGGCTACTGGGAGCAGAATTTATCTTTCTCCGGTCACTTTCTATGCTCTTAACCAGTTTGATCAGAGATGGGTGTCGAGTGAAGTTTGGTTTCCCACGCGTGGAAAAGAGGTTTTTGGCACAGTTGTCTTTTGAAGGCCGCTTCACTTCTAGATCGGAATGGGGGAAAGGAAGGACTTGGCCACGTCCTGAAAGAGAGAAGGGCAGGGGGTCAAAACCCGGCTGGCTCGGCCTCCTCATAGGAGATGAAGTCAAAGTGTAGGTCGAGAATGATCTTTAGGAATGAAAGCAGCAACATTTATAGAGCACCAGCTCTGGGATAGACACCGTCTGAAGGGCTTTCTGTACAAAACTTTGTTAATCTTATTTTAATTGAGTTCTGAGGTAAGATTTCACACCTCAACATCTCTGAAACCCACAGCATCTTACAGCCAACCAGTGGTGTGCTAGAGTGTAATCATTAATGGTTTCTCTTTCTTATCATATATATATATAATCGTGCATCTTATAATCAGTGGAGTCCTACCCTGATGAAATATGGTGGCTCTCACTGCTATGGACTGAATAATGGGGTCCCCTCAAGTCCACAGGTTGAAATCCTAACCCTCAATGTGATGGCATTAGGAGGTGGGGCCTTTGGGAGGTGCTTAGGTCATGAGGGTGGAGCCTTCTTGAGTAAGTGCTCCTATAAAAGAGGCCCCACAGCACTCTCTAGTCCCTTCTGCCATGTAAGTTATGACGAGAAGACAGCCATCTAGATAGCAGGCTCTCGTAAGACTTCCCAGCCTCCAGAACTGCAATAAACTTCTGTTGTTTATAAGCCACCCAGTGTATGGTATTCGGTTATAGCAGGCTGAATGGACGAAGACGCTCTCAACAACTCCACCAGGTAGGTACTTCTTAGGAAATGCATCCCCATTTCAGAGACATTCATCAACTGACCTTGCTCTCTCAGCTAGTACGTGGGCCTGGGATATGAGCCCATCAGTCTGGCCCTGGAGCCTGCACTCTGAATCCCCTGCATCAAAGGACCTCTCTCTGAGATGGCAGTTGACTCTTGAACAGGTTTGGACTCTGCAGATCCACTTATATGCAGATTTTTTACAGTGCAGTGCTGTAAACGTATCTTCCTTTATGATTTCCTTGGTAAGATTTTCTTTTTTCTAGCATACTTTATTGTAAGAATATAGTAGGTGATACATAAACATACAAAGTATGTTTTAACTGACTATTTTCTTGGTAAGTCTTCTGGTCAACAATAGGCTATTAGTAGTTAAGTTTTGGGGAGTCAAAAGTTATATGCAGATTTTTTACTGCATTCCTAACCCCTGCATTGTTCAACAGTCAATGTATATTCAAAACTGCAATAACCTTGCAAAGATACCACTCTTCTTCCCATCTTGCAGGTGAGGAAACAGCCTTGGAGATGTAACTTGTTCAAGGCCACATAGAGTTTCCCTCTGCCCCCATGGCCCATGTTCCTGCTACTTTAAACATTTCTGCGTGGGATCTTTGATGGAACATAAAATGTCAGAACCCTGGAGCTGAGATGGAGACTAGAATATTAATACTGGAGTGAATTCACTTCATGTTCTCGATGTGTGTAGGCTCTGTTATGGCCACTGGGCAGCCTAACAATTAAGCAATAGTATCTTATGTTTTGTGATGCTTTCCACTTTTTCAGATCCTGTCACGCACAGATTCTGCCTCGTGAGTACAGGGTTGGAGGTGTTTTGGCCCTTGGGTTGTTGATGGAACCAGTAGCCAGACTTTCCATATTGGCACTCGTCTTTGTCTTTCCAACAACTTATATATGTTCTTTCCATGTGGGAATGTGGGCAGGAAGGGGAAGGGAGAACATCTCCCAACGCACATTAATTGAAAACAATGAAGCAAAGAATGAAGGAAAACAAATACATACCACTGGGATTTGGACTGATTTCTGGGCCTGTCCATTTAAAAGCTGGTTTTCGGCCTCTTTCTTCCGTAACGTGAACTTTCTTGATAAGATTCAGGCTACTCAGGACATTAGCAATATCATACAACCTCCTAATTTTTGCTGGAAAATAAAAGATATATACCACTTAATGGAATAATGAAAGATCAAAGGACTTTGCTTCTTGAGGACTTCATGTATATTCAAAAAGCTATCCTAGTCATCAATGTCAGGCAGAGAAAAATGTGACTCTTTTAAGTTATTCTGGTGATACTGCGTTAATTCAAACAAGAAAATAGTTTTAAATATTGAAAAGACTGTTACTGCTGGTACTAAATTTAGAAATGACAGAGGTTGAAAAAGGAAAAATGACTTTGTGAGATCACCCTATCGGGAACTATGTTACAGAATTTTTAATAAAAAGTCCCCATTACTGGTAATCCTCTAATGAAGATTCAGAAGAATTTTATGAACAAATAGAAATGAAGCGTCAATGATAAATGTATTGCTTTCCAACTTGTGACAGTTTATACCAATGAGATTTATTTGGTATCATAAGCATGGAGGGTGCTATAACCCATCAAAATGTGTAAATTAAAAAAAAAATTTTTTTAATGTTTATTTATTTTGAGAGAAAGCGGGACAGAGTCCAGGAGGGGCAGAGAGAGAGAAATCCAAGCAGGTTCTGCACTGCCAGGTCAGAGCCTGACACAGGGCTCGAACTCACGAACCATGAGATCATGACCTGAGCGGAGATCAAGAGTTGGATGCTTAACCAACTGAGCCACCCAGGTGCCCCCAAATTTGTAAACTTTTATATTGTCCTTATGTTATATGCAAATCACTGATTCGTTAATTCTACACATCTTACACATCTTAAAAAGTTTTATTACAAGAAACTGGTCTTTACTTCCAGCTTGATACCACAAAATTATAAATTGACCTTGTTCTTCGTAGCCATGCCAGAAGGTTTTGAATTCCCTGGGGATGCAGCAAAGTACACATCCACAGTTCCTGGAATGGTTTCCAAGGCTGTGACTAACTAGCAAAACGCAGAGCTGAAAACTGTCTGGTGAGTCAGAAAAAGCAGGCAGCCCATCCGTAGTGGGTTGAAATTGCACATCTCCCGAGCCAATTGCCAGTATTACTGCCTTTACTCTCGACTTAATTTTGTCTTTATAGAGACACTATCAACCTGGAGATGTCTGAATATACTTTCATGGGATTAGTGCAGCTTTACAGGAACGGGAAAGGAGTCGGTGTGATGGCTCCCGGGCACTCCCCAGAGCGGTCCCCTCGTCAGGCGGGTCCCCTGTTCAGGCTAGCCTCATGCCCTACGTGGAGGTGTGCTGATACCCCCAGAAGACGTGGGCATGCTGCAGACCCTTCCCATGTGCTGAGCACTTCTTTCCACACTCTCCTCTTCTGGAGGCTCCTGCAAAGCCTGTCACTGAGGCGTGGGCAGAGCTCTGCATCGGGAACCCAGCCCAGGCCCCTTTCCTACTTTGAGCAGGTCTGGCTGAACCTATTCTTTCAACTGGGCTGCAGGTCACTTCTGGGAACAATTTTAGAAGAGTTATTTATACCCTTCCCTATAAGAGCAGAGATCTGGGTTCCAGACCCACTTGACAATGTATTGCTCATTTAGACGTTTCTGAGCGACATTTTACGGTTTCAGAATAGGTCCGAAAGCCCACGGCAGTCCTGACACTTACTTTTAAACTTGCTTTTATCCAAATCTTCCACGTGGTCTTCCCCAATTAGAATCTTGGCAGCAATTTCTAGGCTTACTATCTGAGGCGTCGACACCAGAAACAGCATCACAAACTTCTGGCTCATCACTCTTAGAGACTTATCTTTGCGGCTGTTTACAGAAGCTTTGGAGGAGGAGGAGGATTAGAGAATTAAAATTCATGAAGGGACAAGTGACTTCTAAAGTAACAGGGCTAAAAATACCACAACCTGATCAGACAGCTGACAACCGCAGCGTGTTAGCATGTTAAAAGGCAGGATTTGCTTTAGAACCGCGTTCTCTAAGAAACCATTTTCTTTAGACCCAGGAGGAGGGCCCTGTGGCCCAGGCTCTTCCAACCATGGCTCACCTGCCCGAAATTCCACTCCAGGGAGTTCGACAAAACACATGTCCGCATGTCCATTCTGGCCGGTGTTCGATTTGATGATATGATCCTCTAGGCTGATGGTCTTACCAAAGTCAAACTCTTGTTCGTATTCTTTCTTCTTGATCATCATAATCTGCTCGGCATACTTGTTCTCTTCCCCGACGCTTTTCAAAGTCCCCAGGGTTTTGTGGAGATTATGTCGCCCGTGCCAAGTGTATCTGTTTTTGGCCAGGCGGCTCACCATGTGTAAACTCTCTAGGACATTCACGATATCGTAAATGCGTCGCCGCTCAACATCTGCGAAGAATGAGCAACGGTACATAACGAGGATCAGGTTTTGCAACGTGTAGAGAACTGAGTAACTTTTTCTTCCACGGTTTATGAGTCAGCGGGTCTGGATGACACAATTCTACTTACACTCAACAAAGAGCGTAAGGACGAGCCAGACACGTTTCTGCTCTCATAGCGTGTAAATAACGATAATAGGAATTGGAAAGGTAACATTTATTGAGGACCTACTCTGTGCCATACAGCTTTAGGAAATTTTTATCCTAAACTGGTGAGGCAGGTATTATTATTCACACTTTAATGATGAGGGAAGGGGGCTCAGGCTGCTACGTAGCCCAGGCCAAGGCACAGAGCCAGTAAGTGACAAAACCAAGTCTTTTAATATTCTAAACCCCACACATTACAAGCTGGTTTTTTTTTATATTACTCTTCAAAGCACGTGTGTGCACACACATGCACACACACATGTGCACACACACAGGCAGTTGTCATAGAATAGGTACAAAGCACTGAGATTTCTTGCTGTTCCTGGAACCTGCCAGATGTGCCCTTGCCTGAAGGCCTTTTCCTGGGCTGCTCCTTCTGCCTGGAATCCCTCTTCCAGATGCCCTCATCACTCCTCACCTCCATCTTTTCAAGTTCTTGCTCAGATGTCACCCTTTCAATGAGGCCTGACCTGACCACCTAATGTAACATTGCAAAAACACACTCCCAGCCCTCCTGGTCCCCCTCTACCCTGTTCTACATTTTATTTTTCCCCACAGCATGTATCACCTCCTAACATGTTATTATACCTTGCTTGCTATGTGCTTTGCATATCTGTTATGATCTCTCCTTATCTGTCCTTTGCATACTCATCTATTCCCCCCGCTATGAAGTAGGTTCCACAGGAGGAAAGATTTTATTCTTTGTTTAAAAAATGTTTATTTCGCAGGGGGAGGGGCAGAGAGAGAAGGAGACAGAGAATCTAAAGCAGGCTCTGGGCTGCCAGGGCAGAGCCCCACACAGGGCTCAAACTCAGAAACTATGAGATCATAAGCTGAGCCGAAATCAAGAGTTGGATGTTTAGCTGACTGAGCCACCCAGGCACCCCAGGGTGTTATTCTTTTTATCCACTGACATTATCCCAAGCTTTTACAGTATTGCCCGGCACACAGTAGGCGATCAACAGCTACCTGCTGAATTAAAAGTACAGCCTGCAAAGCTACAATTGTGTGTGACTAGATGAATCTAAACGGCTATTCTTAAAATAGGAAATCAAGTCAGTATTTATAAACACGCATCCGAAGAGCAAAACTTTCTTCCTGGAGTGACAGCTACATATTAAAATATCCTTCCTATCTCTCCAGTTTCAGACTCTGAGATTTTCATGACTCCAAAAGTATCCCAAGTTTACCACAGACCCCTTTCTAGCTATAACTAGATTCAAGTCTATGAAGACAAGAATAAAGGGGTTAGGAGGATCACAGTAACTTGCCAAACACCAACACGTATTGTCCTCAGAATCGTGCCGAGTGGCAGGCGATGCTAAAGCCCTGCTTCTACTCACGGAACAGGCTCATCACAAACCAGGAAGATACCATTCTCCAGCCTAGCTCTTCAAGGAGAGAGCGAGGGAGCCCAGAGAGTGCAGACAAAAGTTCAAAGTTGTAGCTGTTTTTGAAACAAGTCATAAAACAATGTTGCCTTTCTCCGGGCGCCTGGGTGGGTCAGTTGGTTAAGTGTTGAACTGCGGCTCACGACAGGCTCTCACCGTTGGTTCCTGGCTTGTTCCTGAGTTCCAGCCCCGTGTGGGACTCTGCCCTGGAAGCCTGCTCCCCATTCTGTCTCCCTGTCTCTGCCCCTCCCCACTCTTTCTCAAAATAAATAAACATAAAAAAACAAAGAAACAAACAACCAATGTTGTCTTTCTTTACAGCTTCAGAGCTTTTGAAATGCAATCAGAAGCAATCTGTTGTGATTTTTACTTCTGTTTGAAAACTCACGGAAGTTGGAAACTATATGCCTTTATTCTTAAATTAAAAGCGCTTCAGAGGGGCACCTGCGTGGCTCAGTAGGTTAAGCGACTGACTTGGGTTCAGGTCATGACCTTGCGGTCCGTGAATTCAGCCCGGCATTGGGCTCGGTGCTGACAGTTCGGAGCCTGGAACCTGCTTCAAATTCTGAGTCTCCCTCTCTCTCTGCCCCTCCCCTGCTCACGCTCTGTGTGTCTCTCTCTCTCAAAAATAAACATTAAAAAATTATAAATAAATAAAAGCCTTCAGTGATTTATAATTTCCATGTGGCATTATCTGTGTCGTTAAGAACACTGGCTAGATGAGCGTGGGTCTGAAGGAGTAAGTCCATGAAGTCACTTTAATTATTAACCTGAAATGGTTATATGGTTAAATGGTGAGCTCTTTGCATACTTACTAAGTTCTTCAGCTACTTCATCAAGACAGATGTCATTGTTCACAGCAGGGTTGGGGTAGTTAGGGTATCGTGCTAAGAACTTATGACACAACAATCCTAAACTTTTTTCTTTTCGACTTGGTTGGGATTTCTCATATTCATCTCCAGATAAGTGTTCCTACAAAAGAAGAGGTAAATCATGTCTGAATCGGAAATAGAGTTGGACAGATTTATTAGGGTCATCTGCCTATGACGGCTAACATGCTTAGCTTCAACAGCTGCAAAACTGGGAATAGAAAGGTAGGAGCCAGTGTAAACTGTGTGGCAGATCGAAAAAGGAGGCTTGTGCTGAAATAAGTCAAAGGCTTAGGATTCCTAGTGCTAGAATTGATGGAGTCCTGTGCTCCGAAGCAGGCTAATAAGTCTGTGGGTGTCGATGCTTCATATTGCTGGCACTTCTGTAATAGCTACTCCTCCCTGCTCCTACACACACACACACACACACACACACACACACACACACACACCAGCCTCCTCCCAGCCTTTTGCAAACCTACGTGCAAACAATCTTTGGCCTCAGGTAATCCGTTTCTGCTATCAAACAACCCCCTTTTCTGATCTCTATTTCGTATCTCGGGGCTCACGGCACTGATGAGCATTTTCAGGTTGGCTGTTGGTGTCCACGGTTCTCCCTGGGAGAGTTCCTTGGGCTTGGTGGGCGTGGTCAAAGGGCCAAAGTCAGGCTGTATCTCTGTCAACACTATATTTGCTGCAGTGGATTCTTTCAGAGGTGTTTTCATTAGTCCTCTTTTATGTGGCTCAAAAAAGAGATTTTCCTGGTTTAAAACAAGCAAATAATTAAATCCACCATAAAACAGGATTTATCATACAGCTTTTGATTCTAGAAATTGTACAATAAATAAAATATTGTCAAGGGAAAAGTGCCTAATGAGGTTAGAGGGCCGATTAAATTAGTAACTATCCCAATGATCACTTGACACTTACTGTCCTTTTTACTAGCTAAATTTCCCATTTTTAATTTTGTAGTTCATCCTATGTTCCAAGAATTGAACAAAAAACCTTTAAGGCAGAATTTTAAAACCTTTTTGACATCATTTTTGATTTAGAATAGTGTTGCAGTTAATATAAAGCGTTCCCATACACCTTTCACTCAGCTTCCTCTAATAGGACTGCTAATTTTAAATGATCCAAAGCTCCTAGGAGTGACTTTTACACACAACACTGCAATAAGTAAAGGCCTACATGGCAGAAACCATGTCCCATTCATCTGTGTGTGTCTCATCTGGCACATGGCTCCATACACTGAGTGCTCAGTAAAATACCACTGATGTGGAAGAGTCAGAAAGCCAAGGAGACCAGGGTGAGGGCTGGCATATGGTCATACTTACAGGCAAAAGCTAGAAGGGAGCAAAACCCAGAGTGCCGACGAGCAAAGAAAGTCTGCTCTTACAATATTTACCTTCTCACTTTATAGAAGGAAAAATGGGGCCCCATAAGATAAAATTAGTTATGGTTCCTGGCAGAGGCAGGACTGCCACTGAGACATGATGGTAAATGAATAGCAGTTCACAAGTAAGAGTAATGGAGACTATGTTTCTTCCACTTTTGGACACTGGGGACTTCACACATTCTTACTCTCTATCTATCGCTATTTTAAAGGAAATGCTTGGAATGACAATAAGTAAAAGAACACAGAGACTCACTAATTCCTCAGTGACTTTAGGAACAAAGATTAATGGGGCTGTTTAACATGTCCGTGATTCCTTAGGATTTATCAAGTGCTTTTCTATTTGTATTCTCACCATATCCTACATGTAATTCTGGTCGGCAGAAGAGGAGAGGCTGGCTGAGAGAGGCTACACAGGCCTTGAACCTGAATGTCCTCAATCCAGCTATGGTGTTCTTCCAGGGAAATCAGTGTGACGAATACAATGGGGGACCCTCCTGGGCAGGTGCACCTGAAAGGTGCTGATCCAAGAATGGGATTTCTCTAAAGGCTGCTGTCCTTTACCTCGGACTATCAGGCACAAGAGCAACTCTCATTTGACTAGTATCTAAACCTTTTAGGAACTTTGCATTTTTCAACCTATCAGTAGCTGGACGCTGATCAAGACACCCCTGCTGACAATTCTTATTTACAAAATGCCTATCTCACAAATAGTATTTATGGCCCCCAAGTTTAAGAAGCTGCTGATTCAGTAGAAAATCATCTCGAAAAGAAATCTGATCTCAAATCACGTCAGATGCCCTCTCTAAATTCTAATTGTTCAAGAATTCTGAGAAATATCATAATGCAGCTAACGAATTTTATTATTTTTTTTTAATTTTTTTTTTTCAACGTTTATTTATTTTTTTGGGACAGAGAGAGACAGAGCATGAACGGGGGAGGGGCAGAGAGAGAGGGAGACACAGAATCAGAAACAGGCTCCAGGCTCTGAGCCATCAGCCCAGAGCCCGACGCGGGGCTTGAACTCACGGACTGCGAGATCGTGACCTGGCTGAAGTCGGACGCTTAACCGACTGCGCCACCCAGGCGCCCCAACGAATTTTATTATTCTTAAAAAAATACCTTTTCTCTCTGCTTATTTCTGTGAGACTTCCATTTGCAATCAAACTATTAAAAGCTTTGGATTACCTTAACTCTGGCCAAACTCTTCCCTTCTTTAAAAATTAAATTTCCCTTTCTTCTGGGTTTTTATAGAAGCTAACTAAAAAGGGATGTAGCTTTAATAAGATATTGGATATGGGAAAACCATAGGGTTAAATCAGGATGGCATTGCTTTTAAAACTGCGAGGATGAATACTAAAGTTAAAAAGGTACCTTTTCATTCTCCATTCTGTAAATTTCTCATACATTTAGAGTTTCTTTAAAAATGAAAAACTGGAGTTGCTCCCAACACCCTGATGGTTTAAGTAGTTCAATCAGTTCTATTAAAACGTTTAATATCCTTAAAAAGAAAAGGAAATAGAAAAAGTTAAAGAAAAATAAAACCAGGAGATCGGCTGAATATTCCCTCATGGACACCAGAGGCCACTTAAACAAAGACTAACGAAAAAATGACAAATTACATTTACATTTTATTCCCGACCGGAGATCACGCTCCTGGGCAGAGAACTCCCATCAAACGCCAGTAAATTCCTTCAGCAAACCGATCCACTGTCACGAGACTCAAAGCAAACCACAGAACTTCCAGTGACAGCTTTCTCCCACCTTCAGGGACGGCACGCCATTCTCCAGACCCCACCGAAAAGGACTGTAGGAAGCACTAACACCCACCTGTTCACAGGTCAGGGTTGGGGACGGAGCCAGCGTCCCAGCCCTGCTTCCGGCTGAGCAGACACGTCCCCAAGCATCTGGATAAAAGTGTACATCTTGATGCCTGAACCTTTCCCCTGACACACACTTGCACAGGCTCAGCAGTAAAGACTTGGGAAATAGCTTGATGGGAAACTTCCAAATTCAGTTCTTAAGTTCCGAACATACTCCGGGTATTTAAAGAGCGCCTTATGATTAAGACTTATTCTTTTTTTTAGGACATCCTTAAAGATGAAAGGCGCGGTGTACTCTCAATTCGGGTGGCGCGTTCACGCCACGCTGTTGGATCTCACCAAGGAGGCTGCATTGGTTCAGTAAAGCCACCAGGTACAGTCCCCCGGCCGCCACTCGCTCCGCGCCCCGCGCACTTCCCCCTCCGCCCAGCCAACTACCCCTCCCCCCGGGCCCAGTCCGCGCGCCACCAGCCCTGCAGTTCCCGGACAGCATCCTCGCCGTTCCCAGGGCAACGATTCCTAACCAATCAGAGAGCTGGACGCGGGCCTGCGATTGGTTGGTGGCGCCAGGGGCGGGTCCGGACCTTCCGCCTTCGATTTAAAAATTTGGCGCGGAAAGCCGGACCGTGGCCGGCACCGCCCCTTGGCTGCGCGGGGCTTGAGCGCGGGCAAACCCGCGCCCGGAACCACGGTATCCCCGCCCCTCCCCCTCGCTCGCCCCCTCCCCTCTGCGCGGGAGCTCAGCTCCTCCCTCCACGGCCCCCGGCTGAGCGAGAGGCGGGAAACGGCCGTCGCTGCCGCAGCCCTCCCGATCCCTCTCCCGGTGCCGGGCCGGCTGGGTGCCGCATCCCTCTGCGTCCCGCTGACCTGTCAGTTCACTTCACGGTTGGAGCCTGCGGGGGCTGAGCGGGGGACACTTCGGCACCGCTTTCCCCGCTCAGGTCCGGGAGCCCGCGTGTCGGGCCGTCAGTCGGTCCTCACGCTGCGCCGAGGTGGGTGCCACGGAGGGAAACGCCGGGACCGGGCTTGGCGGGCCGGCGGGCGGGCAGAGGGAGCGTGACCGTCCAGGAGCAGTCAAGCCCCCGATTTGAAATTAACCCGCTCCCGGCGCGAGCCGAT